GCGCCCCCCCACCCCCCGGAGGCTGCCCTCCCCTCCCCCGGGCCGGGGCAGGGGCTGCCCTGCCCTCCCCTCCGTCGGGGCAGGAGCTCTCGGGCCGGGAGCAAGCCCTTCCCCTCTCCCCTGGGCTCACATCTCGCCTCCTCGCTGCTTGCCTTAACCTCACCGACTGCTCTTTTCCCTTTGCAGTGTGAAGCAGCGCTGTCTTAATGAGCAGAAACGGAGGAGGCAGCGGGCTACCAAGAAAATCAGTATTTTTATAGGGTCATTCGTGATCTGTTTTGGTCCTTACATTATCACCAGGTCAGTATTGCCTGTTGGGGTGGGGGACTTTCTGGGACCGGTATGCCCTCTGATGCGCAGGTGCCCAAGGAAGGGGAGGCTACAGCTAATTTTGGGGTGCCAGAGCCTGACGGAGACCCGGGGTCTGTTCTGAGGGGCAGAGCACACTCACACACACACTCACACTCACAGGCACACTCACACTCACACACAGACGCCGAGCCTGCCCACACGCCCAGCTGCTGGGCGAAGCCTCGGCAACCTCCGGTTCTCCTTTCCTTATTGCAGCCAGGTCTGGGCATCTCTGCCAAGAGCAAGAGGCTTTTAGGACAAGTACCAGAAATTAATTACGTGCCCGTGGGAAATGAAAGCAGTTTAAAAGCCTCACCACCCTTCTTTATTAGCACAGCCCGAGCAATAGAGAGAAACGCAGATAGCTTTTCTTGATTAGTTCAGGTCATCTTTTTTTTTTTTTTTAAGGCATAAGGCCAAACTTGCTGCTATTGGAAGCTGAGGTCACATAATTTAAATTTATCCAGGCTGATAATTTGTCAGATAAGCTTTGTGTCTGGAAACATCAGTGTATGTAAATACATTGCTAACGGTGCAGCATGGCCTTGTGATGAGGTGTGAGAGTTACCTCCCAGGAAAAACAATAATTGGACTTTTAAAATGTATAGGAAACACCATGCCCCTCAGCTGATCAGAATCATTGGCATCTACCCCAGCAGTCTGCACCTTTTAAGTAGTCATGTATCATTCTCATTCCGTACTTGCATAGTCTTTATACAACATATGGTTATTATTTTTAAATCTTGCATAAATCAGTGAGCTGGGAGCCAGTGTACCTCTACTGAATTACAACACCTCAGCATTTAGCCTTTTATCTCTAAATTGAAATGGGCTACATCTTTCACTAGTGATTTTTAAAAATATTCCCCACTTTGCAGTGTGTTCAAGGCACACTTGAAGAGAACTGGCTTCTGTCGAGGAAGGTGCACTAGGCTGCAAAACCACCCCGGTGAGGGCTTCCTCAAGGTTGCTGCCAAGCTGCCAGGGTCTGCAGCCACAGCAGCTTACAGAACCTGGCTGGCTTTAGCACACTGACCCTGCACAGTCACATATATATATAAATAGGCCACCTATGATCACTGTCAGTGCCCTTTTCTTACATGGGCAGGGGGACAGATTGAGGCCAGTGCACAAAAATGGCAGTGTTCTTCAGCTTTTAGGAACACATTTCTTTCAGTTCCCATTTATGTGTTAAAAGGGATTCCTGACTGATTGCCTGGATAACTGCATTTTTTTCTGCAGTTGAAAGTATTATTACAAATATTAACATTACATCACAGAGTTAAAATGTTAACTGATCACTGTTCAGTACATTCTGAGTCATTTTCTATTCACTTTTGCCATAATCAGGATATAATTATGTTGAGAAAAGTGGACTTTGCCATCTTCTTTCCATCTGAACATTACCAAAGGCAGCAAATTCCAGCATTGCCACATTTTTCAGGGTGGAGATATTGCTCTTAAACCTCTAAAACAAAAGTGACTTCTGTCTTCAGACAATGCGTTTGGCAAATGTGAGACGGTGCATTTTCTGTGTGTGGCAAACTGGTATCTCGTGTGCCACTAGAGAGAAGGCCGAGGGTTGGTTTATATAAATGCGTGTGTCAAAGTACAGCTTCTGTCTCGGTCACAAGGACCAAGGTGGTTCAGTGACAGCAAAATGGGAAGTATTTGGGGAAGTATCAAAGGCTCCTTGCCCCAAAGGCAAGACAGAGTCCAGGCAGCGCTAGGTAAACGGTGGTGGTGGAGGTGAGGTTGGAGGACTCGCTGCCATGCCTATTTCACTGTTCTTCCCCCATTCTGGTTTTTAGGGGGGTGGTGTTGAAGCAACCTCTACGGAGAACTCCTCCCCTGCTTCCCTGCTTTCTTGCTCTTTGGCCTGGTGACTCAGGTTGTGCTGTGAGCTCAGTTTTTGCTCCTCATTTCAGAAATGTGAATGAGATTATGATCATTAGCAGTCTATTCATCTGTTCACTAAGAGCCAACAATCTTTTTTGTAACAGCACTGAAAACAAGAAAATGATACTAAGATGCATTCAGATGGATATTTCTAAGATTGACTTGATTTGGCCAGGGCCTTTATCTTATTAAAATCTGTGTAGTTTTTCTTCTTTTGGCTTCAGTGCAATTATATTTGGGCCCATAATACATTAAAGGGAACACATAATTTATAATACATCTATTTTCATGACTGAAAGATACCTCACTCTTCTTATTTAGTGTCTTTATAAAAACATCAATCATGTAAATATCAAATGTATATTTTTCTATTAGGATGATATACAGGATGGGATAAACCTAAGCAACCATGCAGCAAGTGTAATTTATTGTACATCTATTTATTTCTCACATTTTGTGTCTGGTACATTTATTTATCCCACACATTTTGTGTCTTCCTGTTCTCTCTGTTTTGAATTCACTGGAATTTTTTCCAAGCAGTTTCAGACAGAAGTCATCTGTTTTTTAAATGCACTTGCCATAGGAATGATTTCACTTTTACACATACAAAGGAGAAATTTTCCTGTCAGAGTTCGACCACTTGTTGCAATGTTCCGTCCTAGTGGTGGTAAGTCAGCTTTTCTATGCAGAGGGATCAGAACAGCTTCAAAAGTCAACACCCTGCAAGTTGAGAGCTCTGCACTTTGGAAAGAGGCCAAAAGATTCTTCAAACCTTGAGAAAGCTTCTGATCTGACATCTTCAAACAGTGATGTTTTAGGGTACAGAAAAGGGCTATTTCATCTCATGGTACTTTTCTTCTGGAATGAATATAGCAAAATAGTATATTCTTGGTCCTGCAAAAGGTTTCACAAAAGATGTACAGATAATAAAAAGTTCTCACCCTGTTCTTTCCACCTTCCCGGAAAGTTTGCCCGTGGCAGATGAGCCATTTGCTGGAATAGTCTGAAGGTTTGCTCTCACCTCTGTGGAAAAATTGTTTAACTTAGTTGCAGTTTCTGCACCCATGATTAATACACCAATCTCAACTGAGGTGTTGAGGCCACTAATCATCCGTGAAGCACAGACCAGGAGGCACAGGCCTGGAGGCAGCTGGCTGGCCATATAATGATGATAAAAGTGTTGTCTCCTTGTTTTCTTTGGCCAAACTAGCGGTCAGCCAAGCGCACACAGAAACTTTCACAGGTAAGTAGATGCAGTTGTGTTCCTGAGCATACCATGGGATTGCAGGTGCCACCCAAATCTCTTTGAGATACTGCTGTGGTGTTGTTCATACTATAACGGTGGGACATGAATCTTCTTTGCTTATGTGATAATTCACAGCAGTAGTGTAATGCAGGCTCGCTGTTCTGTATCTGAGGGGGTGGTGGATTCAGTGATCAAGACCAGGTTTCTGGTGTCATTTGAGATGCCGCATAGTATCCAAAACCTTTACATTGGTTGGCAGGTAAGATGCAGGACCCAGAGGAGACCCACAACTTCATGGAGCAGCAGCCTGCTGCCAAGGAGCTTATGCCCCAATGTCTCAAGTGTCATTGGGCAGCTGTGCTTAGGGAACTGAGCTGAGTGAGCCTGGATGCCCTAAGTCACCTATGTCTAGCTCAAGCTTGCCATGGGAGAGGGGTAGCCAGTTATGTCACCAAGACTTTCATCACTTACCACCACAACTTTCTAAATTCAGAAAGTGAGCAATAAACTGCAGCACTTTCTTGTCTTTGATGTACGGGAGCTTTAAAATTGAAAACACACTTTTTCTCTCTTTCCATGGAGGGAACGATTGTTGTCTCCCAGTGGCCTTGCTAGGAAAGTTCCCTTTGCCTTTATTGAATCCAAGGAGTAAGTAAGTACAGGGCCCTTCTCCTGCAGGGACCTCATACTGTAAGAAAATAAGTGTGACTTTAATGTTTCATGAAGCATGAGTTCAGCACTGGGCTCAGTGTGAATATAACACTCAAGTGTTTCCATCTCTCTTTAATGTTTAACAGGTTGATAGAGCTCCTTCCTTTTGTTACCATAAATTACTACTGGGGAATTATAAGCAAGTGCCTCACCTACAGTAAGGCTGCATCAGATCCATTTGTTTACTCACTTCTACGTCAACAGTACAAAAAAGTTCTGATCAACATCGTCAATAGGATACTTAAGAGGGACCTGTATCCGTCGTCGGGGTACAACAGCTCTCTCGACACTGAAAATGATTACTGCTTGCACAGAACAAACTAACAACATGAAAACATTCCCCTTTGAGTGAGACAGGTGTTTGCTGCTGCTGGAAAGCTGCCTTTTCCCTCTCATGCTGACAGCGGTGACAGTGTCTCCAGGGTGTGAAAGCTGCATTAATGAGATGCATTTCATCATGGACTTTCACAAAAGGCTCTTCCCTGGTCTGCAGCCAAGTACAATATATGGGAAAGCCTTATCCCTGAGTGAATGGAGCAGGCTTGAGGAGTTTAAGAGAGCCTTTGGAAGCTTTGGAGAAGCTTAGAGAGCTTTTAATGTTGCATTTCTGAAGACTTGGTATGTTTTGGAGCATCCCACATCAGACGTGATATTCCAGTGTCTTCTGCGACCACAGAAATCCCCAGGCTGGAAGGAGAGGTTCAGAGTCCACCATGTTGTGCGTGTAACTTGGCAGCCCTGGATCTGCTCTGCTAGTTTCGAACGTTACAAATAGGTCTTTTAATTGATTGATTTATTGTATTGGTGCCTCAAGTGAGTGATATGGGTCAGCACTTTGAACCTGAGATTGTTATTATTTATTACTAGGCATCATGATTGTAACATAGCCTTTAGGAAGTGGTACATATATTTGATATGCCAGTATTCTATCAAGCATAACCAAAGTCCACATATCTGAGTTACTAATATTTAGCACTTCAATGGTATGTGATTACAATAATTGCAGCAACAGTAACAAAGATGTATATGGAATTTAGTTAAATAGCACCGTAGTTCCATCACTGAGCTCGTAGTCCTATTCAACCAAGCTTTTCTTCAGAAAAAAAAAAATCAGCTAGACAGTAGAAGTGGCAGATACCACTGTGTTTAAGATATATTACTTCAGAAGCTATCTATTTTCAAAGAACAGGTTAAAACCTACTAATTCTTTTTAAGGGATATACAATGTGTAAAATATTTCATGCATTGGCTATATTTGGTGGACTGTAATAATATTGTACGATCTTTTCTTTTCTAATGATCAATTAATCTGGTGATCTTAACTGATAACAAGAGATGTCTGAGAGATATTATAACAGACCTGCTGCCAAATGCCCAGAAACACAAAGCTGCTTTATTATTATATGTATTTTTCTCTTTAATTTATTTTTAAATCTAAACAGGCTTTGGAAAAATGTGGGAGTTATTTTTGAACAATATTCTGTTGATTATATAAAGATATGAATGAGAATTCTATGGCATTCAATAAGCTACTATTTTCTAATCGAGTACATAGGTGGAAAATTAAAGCAATTCTAAAATATATTTTAAGAAAAGAAAAAGGAAGATGACAGTAAAAAACATTTTTTATGTAAGAATGGACTTGACCCTATTGAGCATTGAGAAGGCTATTCCTGGTCTAACGAAGCATATAAGCATGTGATTAGGCACAAATATAATTTCCTTTGAAGTTAACGGCTCTGTTCCCATGCTGAAAATTAAGTACATGCTTAGCTGTTTTGTAAAATCAGTGTTGAGCAGTCAGCACATTGAGAGGGTTTTTCCCACCATCCACAACAAGGAAGGAGAGCACCTTATTGCAATCCCATCGAAGTCAAGGAAGGGTGATGCTCTGTAACAAATACAATGTTCCCTTACCTCCTGCTTTTAATCTCTGAGGCCATTCTGATGCTTTTTTTTTTCTTTTTGCCATGCAAGTACCTTAGGCCTCTGTGTTTTGCATCTATAGTTCTGCCTGTGTGTAAATTGAATGTACTATAATGGTTTTGTCTTCTTAGTAAAGTATTTGTACTCTCTCCAATTTTGTGTAAATACAGTATTTCAGAAAAAAAAAATACTTGTCTATGGAATCTTTCCATTTTTACTATCTTCCTTTCTGCCTCCACATGCCTCCCCCCTCTGCCACTTGATGCTTTCAGATGCAACATAAGGACCAGATATCTCGGGGGGGAAGGATGCTAAATTTTCAGTTATTTTTTAGTCAGTTTTGTGCCAAAGAGGTTTTGCTAGACTACAGTATTTATCTATGAATAATCATGAGTTTAATGAAACCAACAGTTGTTGGCTTACCTTTGCTTTCCTAAACAAAATGGTGCTCACTTTAAGAAATGAATGTTACATACAGTTAAGCGTATTGAATTCTCATTTCCAAGACATACAAATGAAATAAATCTTTTCTTTGATTATTTTCTCTTAGTATCAAGAAAATGGAGGAGAGAAAAAATAATAAACTTTAAAGCTATTACAGCCATAAACTTCTAAAGCTATTAAACTATAAGTCACATTTTAAAGGTATAAAACAGGACACAGTTAAACTGCTACATCTGCTATTCAGTTAATTAACGAAGCTTATTCATGCTAGCTGAGGGTGTCATCATGCACACATTTTACAATACCACTCAGATCACTGAACATTTCCACAGGTGCTTAGATTTTGAGCCTGTACTGGGTATTCCAGAATGTCTTTTAGATTTAATTTCCATAGAGAATTAGGAAGCTATGGTCTATGGTACGCTCCAGAGGTAAAGACACCAGAAACTAAGGAAGGGTGAGGAGAGCTGTAGTCCTCTTAATCTTGATTTGCAATGAAGTTTAAATGCCTTGTTCAGCATTACCAGAAGACATCTTCCTCGGCTCAGTACGCACAGCCAGTTCTGCAGGTAAATTTTGCTTTCTCTCTTCTTCTTTCCACCTCCTCCCCACTCTCTACCAGAGAAGGGCTTGCTCTACCTTTCTAACCAAGTAGGAAGCATTCAGTGAGAAGTCTCAGTTTCATTCCCCCAGCTCCCTGATGTAGGCAAGCCCCCCTTTAGCTTGGTGCTTCATTCACCATGCTCTGGATTACTCAGGGATAGGATGAGGTAGGGGGAAACCACACTTTGCCCCCATTTTGGGGGGTGCTGGAGATGAGAACATGTATCTTATCTGATGGAAGCATTCACCAGAGGTAGCAAGGTTGTGGATTCCCTCTTACTGACATTTTAGATAAAACAAACATTGGATAACGCAGTCCTGACAGTAGAGCTTAGTTTGGATCAGAAGACTTCCAGCAGAGCTGAAGTGTGGTATCCAAAATGGCGTCTTGCCACTGACACACTCTTGCCAACTCAAAGGTAGTGCTCCAGGAAAGTTCATCTGCATTTCCTGCCCAATGGCCTGGAGTGGTTCTTGCTAGGAGGCAAGAGACTGGAAATGCCTGGCAGGTGTGTTGTAGAGTTGGAAATGCCCTGGGGGTCAACAGGAACTGCCTGAGATGATGACTTCCCTGGCAGAAGGAGCTGTCACACACCTGTGGCTGCTTAGGGAAAATGATGGTGAGTTGTTAAAAGAGTGTGCGAGGGAAGCACTGTCTTCTCATAGCAGGGCCCAAAAAGCTCATGGGCTGTGACTTTTCAGCTCCTGGCTGCAATCTGAATCAGCAAAAAACCTCTCTCCCCTTCTCCAAACTTGTATTTTAGCTGCAGGGACTGGAGCAGAGAGCTGCACCTTCCCTGGGTGAGACCCTCATCCCAATGGCAGTCAGAGTATAAACTCTGCAGCATGACAAAACTTAAATGAGTCCATGCAACTGAGGAGACGTTCAGCTACTGTTTTGGGGTGGTTTTTTTTCTGTAATACATCTCCACCACAGTATGCCCAAGCCTGATGATTTGGATATTTTCTGCTGAGATCCAGAATGGAGTTTTGAATCTGCCTTTTCAGAGGATGGAAGTGAGTCTGCATGCCCCATTTCCTAGGTGAGTGCTCTGATGTTTATTTACCACAAAGTGTCACCTCTTCTAAAGGAAATAGAAACTTTTTTTGCCTGGCACCAATATTGTAGGTAAGCTCTGAGACTGACAGACTGAGTTTCTGAGGCAATAAAGGTGAAGTAGTGCTTAGACTACAGATTCCCAAAAGATTTAGGTACACGCTGGATCCCAGCCTGCTAAGTCCTGACAAGAGAGATGTGCTTCAGCCCAAGGGCAAAATTGAAACTAATTGTGCAATACTGGAAACTTTTGTGTCTCTGAGCTCAGATGGCAGCTGAGAGATGGGGACCTTGATTTCTGTGAATTTTCACTCCACAGATTCCTTAGCCTCACTGAAGGGCAGGCATGTTATTCATCTGGGTAAATTAGTACCTAATAAACTTTTGCAAATAATCTGCGCAGCTCAGTGATTACTGAATACATATTTGCCTTGTCTTAACATGAAAAATCGTGGTAGTGAACTTAAAATTTTAGACCTAATTGCAATGTTAGGCTTATTGTATGGTTAAGCAAGTGGGAACCAAAGTTCATTAATGCAAATTCTCCTATATGATCAGAGTGATCGTGCTTTTTACCTCTATAGGTTAAAATTTGAGCTTTTGAGAAATTTAGTGGCATTGCACCTTGTTGAATAAAATGACCCATGACAAGACATTAAAACTCATCTAGGTAGAGTGCTTAAAAAAAAAACAACACAAGCTGAAGAGAACTATCCTGCATGAGTGGGAAGGCTTAACCACATCACCTGGAGGGCATATTTTCTGTTGTGCTTAAGGGGTTTTTCCCCCAAAATAATTATGTGCACTTGTGCATGCAGAATGAACAAGCAACCGTGTGTCTGTCTCAAAAGCACATAGCATATTTCAGGATTGTGAAGTGCAAATGGCTGGCTCGGTCTGGTTCAGGAGGACACCTGGTTTGTGGGAGGTGTTAATTACACAAGTAAATTAGAGATTCTGCTTCTTATTTTTGGAAAGCAGGTCCAATTAATATTTAATGGCTCAGCTGGAGACACAGCAGAGATGACCTTAAGAAAGGTTGTAAATATATGAATGTCTTTCAGTGCCAGCAGCTTGGGGGAACAAAATGTCACCTGGCACAGTACATACAACCAACTCCTTCTCTGAGCTGGAGCTTTTTTATCCTATGTCTTATGGATGTGACACAGGCCAAATGACTGGTACCATTTCTGCATATCCCTGGCTCTTCTCCCTTTACCAGCAGGTTTTCCTTGCCAGGACACGAGGGCGCACGATGCAAACTAGGTGCTTCTGCTCTTTTCTGTAAGTGAGC